AGAGAGAGAGAGAGGAAAAAGTAAACCCTCTCTCCAGCCCAGATGGAATTGCCACGGCAATTGGAACAAGGGGAGCCTTGAGCGGGTGGCGCCGCAGGGGCACAGCAATCGGAAGACAAAGTGTGTGTCTCGAGGGGGGCACGCGAGCATGCGATATAAGCCAAATGATCTGGTAGAAAACCTTTAAACATACCCCGAAGCCAGTAATCAGGATCCTGAACTCATCTTCTGTCTCGTCGCAGCTCACGCTTCTGGTGGCGGGGTCGATGGAACCCATGGCGGCGCAATGGGGAGGTTTTATGGATGATTTGTGGTGGGCAAGGTGATGATGCAGTATGTCTACCCCGTCACGTTTAATATTGTTCTCGTATACAACAGCCCCTTCTCAACGCCAGTGACGCCAGGATGAGACGTTCGCTGCTTGGGCAGTCGGGCGAGCAAGCAAAAGTGAATGGGGCGTTTATTGTTGTACTGAGTTGGTAGCTGGAACTAAACCCCATGTACCCGGAGCCGGAGGGAGCCGTGCTATCTTTATAGGCAAGGTATATTTGCAGGCATTTTTAATTGGGGGTCGAAACGAGAGAATTGACCACCTTACCCGAACTTGACTCTTGCAGTTGCATGTATCTATCTGACTTGTGGGTATGTATGATGTAGGGGAGGGGGGTTACAGCGTACATACATATTGCGCAACAAATTTACCTCCCCCCCAGGTAATGTATGTAGGTCGCCTGACTAAAAACGGATGGGAACCCGCGGGGTAAAAAAAAAAAGCCAAGCGGCACGCTGTTATGGAGGGGCTATTCACTTAGGTTAGATGCAATGTCCAGAAAAAACATGGAACCAAGGCTCGAATGTCCGTCAGTGGTTACGTCTTTTTGCCCGCTTTATTTGAACTGCTGATGCATAGCGTCGAGTCATCGCTCATATGGTGCAAACCTAGACTGGTTGGGAAATCTGCAAAATCTTGTTGCATACTGCCTCAATCTGGAAGTGGTAGAATAGACCCCCCCATATAAGCACGAGATAGTACAAACATGTCATGATCTGCAACCTATAGCCCATATATGAATGGGCCATGACGGTAGCTATTATTATCAATATAATACATTAAATAACATATTGGGGTCAATTGATCTATGTAGTGATTTGTTCTTATTAATCCGTAACCACTTAGTCATAGCCACGAAGCCGTTCACTCATATTATGCTTGTATTATTTGTGCCAAAGCATTGGCAGCGGGTTAAGCTTTGGACCGTGCTGTGCTACCTTGAGCCAGTGCAAATGATGAAATAAGGTACAGAGTACGATTTCTTGGACATTTGCTAAAGATGGTGCCTAAGCATGTACATTTCATGACATGTATTCCTGTTTTACAAGTAAGACTCTCTTGGCATTGTTCTGCCCCAGGATCGAGATGCTTGATGTCCAATGTTGTTTCATTATAAGTCGTCAAATAAAGAACCAGCATTGGGATCTCCAAGCCGATACATTGCACTCTTGACGGGCTTGAGACCATAAAGTACAATATCAAGCAATGTTTTTAGCGTACGGCGCGGCTCCATTTGAGCCTCGACACTCACATAACTTCATCCAAACAAATCCACAATTCGCAAGCAATGAGCTTGACCTGCCACTCACAAAGATACGAGCATTGCATTTTCTCTCTATGAGAAGGACACTCGAATATCACCATCATCATGTCAAGCGTAAGCATGTATTTCTACGATGCCACCCTGCCGAGACTGAATCTCTGACGATGCAGCCATGTCCGCTTAGACTGAACAAGAACAAACTGGCGTCAACGGCGTCACACAGCTGCTCCGAGCGATTGGAAGTTGGGGCACACCAAGGTGAGAGCAAAGGGGAACGAGACACCTGACTATGATCCAGCTTCTTACTTTGTAATCCCAGTGGCCGGGGGTTACACATGTTCCGGTCATTGATGGTAGCATCTTCAACAGCTGTATGTAGACTCTGGAGCAACAAATATTCTCCATCCCTCCTTATCAAATATTCTCTATACACCAATTCCCTTGGCATATCACAACTAACAGGAACCGGGAATACCCCCAAGGCCATCCTAGGCGTCTCCCTCGCCGCGACCCTCGGCCTCCTGACGGGCTCGGGCTCGGCGGGCTTCCTGGTGGGCTCCTGCGTGGGCTTTGTCGGCGCCTTGATCGCGTACCACCGCCTGTCGCTGGCCCAGGCGCTCGTGGCCCTGCGCGAGAACCCTCGTCTCCTGCAGCTGCATCTGGCCTACAATTTCCCCCTCGCCGGCTTTGGCGGTCACATGTCCCGCGCCCAGCTCCGCGCCCCGTACTGGCGCGACAGCCTGCATCGGCAAATGTTTCTCATTGCCGCCTGGCAGAGCGCCTCAGTCCAGCTGGATGACCTCCATGAAGCCCGGACCCGGGCCGAGGTCGAGAGGATCATGAGAGGGGAGAGTAGGGGAGAATTGGAGTATGAGGAGGTTGAGGATGGTGAAGCTCATGTTGAAGACAAACAATAAATGGGACGCATATGAAGAATATCATTGTTGTCTAAAGAATAAAATGCTCCTATCTATCTAGTCCAAGATGCTTTTTTGACCGTTTGCTCGTGATATACAATCTGAAAAACACTATGCTCTATGTTTTTTTTAGCCCACCAAAGAATGCATCGCTTTATAGTCATGCTCGCTTATAAGCCACCACACTTCCGACTATGAATCCCACTTTGGTATACCCCTGAGGCCCCAGGACTTCAACCCGCCACAACAATCTCATCACCAACTTCCACAATTTGCAGCGATCCAGTATTGTCCCACTGGACACGGCCTTCATCAACAGCATCTCTCAGTTCCTCAGACAGAGGCTTCTTGTCGCCCGTGTTGGGATCCCAATCCCATCCCTCTTGCATCCACATCCAGCGCAGGTATGCCCTCAGCTCCTTATCTGCCGGCATGACTCTCATCCACTCGGGCTGGAACTCGGGCTCCCGGCCCTTGCCCTTCCAGTCCTCGGCGCGGCCGAGCAGCACGTCACGACAAAAGATGCGCCAGCTGTCAATGGCGTACGGCCCTTGCGTCATGTGGCCAATCTCCCACGCCGAGGCCCTAGGATCCTCGCTCTCCGCCGGCAGCTGCTCTCCGGCGCGGACGTCTGAGCCGTCACCAGGTACGGGGTAGTTCTTGACACCGTACCGGGTCTCGCGGCTCGGCGGGCTCTTGATCCAGATGCGGGCGTATTTCTGAATCTGTGCAGTCCGCACGACCGACAAGCCAAGGTGTTTGATCATGGATGCAATCTCATCAGGGCCGGCGACGAGTAGCGCGTGCGGAGTTGGGTACTTCTCCATCAATTCGTAAAAAACGGGCACCGAGATTCTACCGGGCGTCCTGACGAGGAAGGTGATGGCTATCAGGAGGCGAAAGGGATCGCTGGCCAGCTCTTCCTGAATGAGCCCGAACCGTGGGGCGGAAAGGGTCGGGAATGGCAGCGCCGAGACTGTACCACGAGGTGGACGTGGACTCTTTGGCTTGAGGGGGCTGGCATTTGGTGTTGCAAAGTACTTTGACGTGGAGATTCGTTCCTGACTTGGAGTCTGGGAGGCGACGCGAAGGCTCTGGCGCCTCCCTTCGGCGCGTTCTATGATGGAAGAATCTACTCGAACGGGTGTACTTTCCGAAAGAGGAACTTTGCTAGGAGTCTTTGCTGCTAGCCGGAGGCTTTGGCGTCTGCCTTGGGTAGGATCTGTGGCGGCACGATCTCTCTGACGAATTGTACCTGCAGAGCCAGGCGTTCTCAAGGGTGTTCTCGTGGATGATCGTAATTCGTATATCCTAGCTGGAGCCGCAGACTGCGGAATCTTTCCATCCAATCTCGTAGTTCTCGCCGCTGATGTCCCCTTTGCTGGTGTTTCGTTGACTTGTTCATGTGCCCCTTCTTCGTTTTCATGAGCTTCCTCTTCGTTTTCATGAGCTCCATCCTCGTTTCCTGGTGTTCCATCTGATGGTGTTTCATTCATCGATTCATCCACTGGCTCGTTTTCTATTTCGTTTACCAGTTCTTGGTCTGCTTGTTTTCCATCTGGAAGCTCTTGATCTGATGTTTGGGGTTCTGTTTTTTCTGGGCTGTTCGTTGTTTGACCAACAGACTCATCCGCTTCTTCGACTTCTTGCCCTTCGCTTGCTGGTGCTTCAGCTGCTGGCTCATCTTCCATATCGAGCATTGGTAGCTCAATATTTAAAGGTTCTTGTTCTTGCTCGTTGATTTCTGGTTCCTGTTGGATTTGGTTGCTCAGGCACATTTCACCACTCGTAGACTCCTGGCCGCTTACGAGTGGCTGGCTTTTTAAATGGCCCTCGTTTTTCTCATCAACATGCTCTTCATGTTCAGAAATCTGAGCGGTAATCGCCTCGAGAGTCTTGTTGCCATTGCTCGTATACCAGACAGAAGCCTCCTGGAGAACGGGTGCTACTGACTCTGGGGTCTGCGGCATAATCTTGGCAGACTCCCTCTTCAGCTTCCGCTTAAGAGACCTGTTCTTCTTTTTCTCGGCTTTCTTCTCGGCTGCTTTGGCCGCACGATGGGCTACTGTCTCCACGCCCTCAGCATCGCCATCAGTCTTGGCATTGATGCTGGGGTCAGGTGTGACACCACCCTGAGCGTTTGCTGTAGCGGCAGCGGGTGGCGAAGGCTTCTCGAAGAAATGAGATTCATTTTTTTGGTTTCCGAGGCCTTCGCTTTTTCTTGGGCCTATTTTCCCCTGCAACCTCTTGGGACTCGGCAGTTCGTTTTTGGCCTTGCTTCTGTTGTTGTTGTTGTTGTTGTTGTTGCTGCTGCTGCTGATTTTGTTGACTCTTCTTCTGCTTATTCCTCTTTCTCTTCTTTTGCTGCTGCTGCTGCTGCTGCCCTTGCTGCTGGTGACTTTTCTGATTCCCCTGATGTGCCACCTTTCCTTGTGCCAGAGGGTCAACCTTCTGCAGATCCAAGGCCGCCGCCTTTTCTTCTGGCGTGCCGAGTTGCATCAGTTTGCCCATTTGCGTCAACACGTCCTGACCCTCCATGGACGACGGGTTGGCCAGCGAGTCCCTCCGGCTCCGCGCGCACGAAACCATCATATCCCACACTTCGACACCGCGCAAGAGGCTCATGCGCCGGAGATCCTCGCACTTGTCGTCGTGCTTGCCGTTGGCGGCCAATAGTCCCAAATGGAGTCTTTCGAGGTCGTTGTCCGTCTCCCAGCCCAGCATAAAATCCTCGGCCAGGTCTGACTTGGTCTTGCTGCGATTGTGGTTCTCCTGCTCCTCGTCTTCTTCTGTTGTTACCATGCTAGATGACGGATGATTGGTTTTCTCCAGCCAGTCCATCACTTTTCTGTAAATCTTTTTTGGATTGGGTTGGGCATAGGCGACTCGTTGTTGTTTCGAGTCGAAAAAGCCCATCTGAGCCCTCAGGTAGCTCGGAAGAATAGAAAATGGCGGATTTTCCAAAAGCACAAAACCGTCAAATTGCCCTTGGTTGTTGGACCTTCCTTCATACGCACTCACGGAAGCAATGATGACTTCTGTCAGCTAGGGCCGTTTCTCATGCTGTCAGCTTTGGAACAGCATACAATGAAGAGCCAAAATCAGACCAACTCAGACTTGAAACAGATTCAGAATAATTAATCAAGCAATAGAACAACATTACACATTATATGCAAAATTTTTCTTTTGGTGCAGGTTGAGGATGAGGTGCGTGTACAAGAAACAAAACTTGGGGGGATCTCTGGGGTAGGTCGGCCCGCTGGTGGGAAAATTTTGGACTCTGAGACCCAAGTGCAAAATTGGGTGCAAGTGGATTGGATTGGATCCTCGCCCGCCAACGTAAAAATGGTATATTCCCACTTGGCCCCATTCCACGTTGCACTGACCTATTGGCGGCAAAGCTCATGAATGGGGGCAATGCTTGTTTACAAAACGCGATGAGAGATTTTCTTAGATATATGCCAACAATTTGGGATCATTGGTAAAGTCTGCAAAGGTCAAATGGCAGTCTTGCGAGTGACCTGAAAATGGAGAGATCTGCACCCTGGAATGTCTAACAGATGATGATGGGTAGCAAGTAGCTTGGATGCACATCACTTCGATGACCTCATGTCATGATATTCATGCCAAACTCAAAAAGCGAACTTAATTCAAGGCTGTATACTTGGATTCTCGTCTTCGCCAGCCGAGATGTGGAAGAATGCTTCATGCTCAGAAAAGGATGCGCACAAGGGCTTGGCCGTACACAGAAGCAAAAGGTACATGTTTAGAATTCAGGAAAAACGAGAGCAAGAGGTGACTGTTGCCAGGCGTTCTTCTATTTACTTTAGAGCAAAAATGACATGTGCAAACAAAATCAATAGAAATAAGGAACTTGATTTACACTCTAAAGTCACTATCCCCCGTCTGCTCCCCTCGCATCAAGTCTTTTGCTTCAAAACAAAGGAGCCCTTTGGGGAGTCTAGTATTACATACAGGATTTCGTTTCGTCTAGAGGCGCATGTTTCTGCCAGCCTTGGGAGGGTCGTACACAGTCTTCCTCGACTTGATCGGAGACCACTTGTATCGCTTCACCCAGATGCTGAGAGCAGTAAGGACCGCGGTGACGGTCAGCACCTTTACACCCATCTTCTTACGGTCGTCCATCTCGGGCTCGGCGGCCCAGTTGAGGAATTCGGTGACATCCTTGGCCATTTGCGAAGTCGAAGCAGGAGTCTCGTCCTCGTACTCAACCAGGCCATCGTACAGAACACGGGCCATGGCAATACCGGTACCGGGGAAGTAGGGGTTGAAGTTGAGGCCAGACTGGACCTGAGCACCAGCCGGGGGCTCCTCGGGGTAACCAGTCAACAAGCTGAAGATGTAGTTGCAGCCACCGTGGCGACCCTTGACGATCAAGCTCAGATCCGGGGGCAGAGCACCGTTGTTGGCAGCTCGGGCAGCCTCGTCGTTCTTGTAGGGAGCAGGAATGTAGTCGGAAAGCTTTCCAGGTCGCTTCTCAATCTCACCCTCATCGTTGGGCTCAGTGTCGTACTCGTTCTGCTCGGCCAGCTCCTTTGCCTCGTCGACAGTCAGGATAGTACCGACGAGAGTTCGGTAGGGGACACGGCTGAGCGAGTGGCAGGCAGCGCAAACTTCCTGGTAGACCTGGAAACCACGGCGGAGACTGAAGCACATTTATCAGTTTACCGAAACTCGGCGGCCATGAAGTCGTCGGTATCTGCACTTACGCTTGGTGGTCAAAGGTCTTGGTCCATTGCTCGTGAACCCAGGGGTACTGTGTGGGGTGCAGACTGGATTGATGAATCAGCATACAGGTCTCGCAAACGCAGTTTTGGATGATGCGAGCTGAGATGAAGAGAGGCAGGACGTCGTCACGCGTCGCGAGCGCCGTCTCAATCCCCAATCTCCATCGCGGCCGTGTCTCTTGTTTTTGGACTCACCCTTCCTCAGCAGGCGTCATGGCATGTGCGGTAGGTCCGTAGAGGTGGTAGTACCACGCCACGGAACCAATGGCCACGGCGGTCGAAGCAGCGGCGGCGAAGTTCAGGCGGGTCGGGGTCTCGGCAGAGGCGGAGGAGCTCGATGTCGAGGCGGATCGCTGAAGAGAAGCGTCAAGTCAGTACATTTTTCGATGAAACGAGGTCCCAGAGATTGCCATTGAGATGCTGGCGGCGGCCCTCGACGGCCGAGGCAAGGTCTTTCCCCCTTCAATTCGGCTGGGATGATGGTCATTTCTCGGTCGTACCTTGGCGAAGCTGGAGGCGCCATTCCGGGCACCGCTGAGAATGCGCGTCGAGCGCAGGCAGGATCTTGCCAACATGATGGGCGAGCTGCTCTTCAGTCGTGCGAAGCGCGGCAAGCTGTGTTGACGGGTCAATGGGTCGGCAGACTCGTGGTCGTGAGGTCGGGAATCGTCTAACGTAGATTTGAAAACTACGAGTAAAAACAGCTCACTGAGGCCCCCGGCAAGAATAATGGAAAAACCCGATCGCTGATTGGAGAGATGACGGTCTGGAAGTGGACTCACACTAGCCACGTGACCTGCGGCTTTCCTGGTTCTGCCGATGAATTGATTGACTGGTTCGATGCAGGAAGAAGGACGCCAAGAACGACACCCTCAACACCACCAATGGCCTGTCTAGGCCAACCTCGGATGCGTCGATGATTCATCTTGCAGTTGTTTGCATCTCAATCAATCCTTTTATTGCATCACGGGATCATATTCTCATTCACATTTTGGAGCATCCCAATACTTCACCTGTCTCATTGCTGCGACTAAGTGCTGTCCCCACTTGGGCCGATTTACGGGATATTGCGTTGTCCAGCAGCCAGCTACAACTGACGATTGGTGGCGTTGCTATCAGTATCAAAATGGTGTCTTTCTTTGAGTCCTTTCCTATAGTATAGCTTGCGTTAAATGGACTGTGCAATTTTTTATCCAATACTTGTTTCTATTACACCACAATTTACGTGTTTGAACTCAATTGGCATGGCTCTTCTAGTCTTGTCCAGTGGCAACAGCTTCAATAGCTTCAACAACTCTCGGATGTACCTATGTACCCAAGCATTATCAGGTGTAAAGAGAAGTGAGGCAGAGTCAATACTGAACCATGAATGCTGCTTCGCTTCAAATTATATACCGCGGCTGCAGGTGTTCAACAACCAGCAGCTTCCAACCACTACAGCCTGGCTTCGGCATCATTGCCAATTCGGACTGTCTTGAGAACTCCTGAACTGCTAGAGCTTGTACTACTCAATTTGGACCCGCGGTCATTGCTGGCATCGGTACAACGTACCAGTCATTGCTTCATGACCTGATCTGCACATCGCCGCTCCTCCAGGAACAGCTCTACGCCAGTCCCTCGACGTTCGGCCTCTTGAAACGACTTGGAGATCAATCACCAGCTCGCCAACCTCACTGAAATCTCACCGGCTTGCTGAAGAAAAGCCGCTTCTTGAGGACCACAGTGGCGACACCAACGCACCTGGTGGGCTTCAATCCTGGGGCCCAATCGCACCCGCTGTCGTACCTGCCCAGGTACGAAAGTGGTGCATCCACATGAGAGAAGGGCGTCGCCTTTTGCCGTCCTGACGCGAGCGGGCGACGAATGCTGCTTCCAATGCCAATTCTTACGCCGTTATGTTGCAGACAAACGTGACTATTCCTGGAGTATCAACGCCGGTCGAGATAGACTCCGATCACAATAAATACCTTTTGGAAAACGTGAGCGATTTTGTATTCACCAGACACTCAGATATCTTATTAAATGTTTCGATGTTGCTGTCAGAAGTTGAAGCCGCAGCACATATTTGTTACCCGTATAATGGGTTCATAGAGCTTAGTAACTTGAAACTACTCAATGGACAGTGAGTTTGTATACCTTTGAGCAGACTTCAATCGTATCTCATGTAACGTCGACGTTTCACTTGACCTCGTGGCCTTGTTCTGGACTTGTTGCCTCACAACAGGTGCAGAGTTGTAGATTTCTGCATGAAGAATAGACTCGTAAATTGAGCTTAAAATTACCATGTATATTTTTCTTCTCGAGACCCCATTTTTGTAACCGTATTAACAAAAAGACATAAAAAAAATCCAGGCCATGCTAGCATCGCAGAACGTGTAGGGAGAGCATAAACAATGATTCGCTTACTGTTGGCCATTTGCCAACTTTTGTCTCTGCTTGACGGCATCTGCCAGGTTCTTGAGGACATCCTCGGTATCTTGCCACGAAATGCAAGCATCGGTGATGCTGACACCGTACTTGAGGCCAGACTTGCCCTCGGCCGGCACCTTTTGGTTACCTGCAACCTTGTGAGAAACCGGGAAATGACCTCGTGTATTAAGCTAGGAAAAGGAGCCGACTTACCCTCATTGATGTTGCTCTCAATCATGACGCCCATGATGGCGTTTTCGCCCTTGCTGATCTGGTCCGCCAACTCTGCTGCAACCTTTGGCTGGTTCTTGTGGTTCTTCAGCGAGTTGCCGTGACTGCAGTCAACCATGAGTCTCTCCTTCACACCGTTCTTGGCCAGGGCCGCCTTGGCCTCAGCGACCGACTTGGCATCGTAGTTGGTGCCCTTGGTTCCACCGCGCAGGATGACAAAGCAGTCATCATTGCCAACGGTTCCGACGACGGCCACGATACCAGGCTTGGTCACAGACAAGAAATGGTGGGGGTGCCTGACGGCGCCAATGGCGTCAATGGCCACTCCCAGCGTGCCGTCTGTTCCGTTCTTGAAACCAACGGGGAAAGACAGACCGCTGGCAAGTTCTCGGTGCAGCTGACTCTCGGTGGTTCTTGCGCCTACGGCGCCGGCCGACAGCAGATCGGCAAGGTACTGAGGAGAGATGGTATCGAGCATCTCCGAGGCAATGGGCATGCCCTTGTCGGTCAGGTCGACAAAGAGCTGTCGCGACAGGCGCAGTCCCTTGTTGATTCTGAAGCTGTTGTCAATGTCGGGGTCGTTGATCAGGCCCTTCCAGCCAACGGTCGTTCGGGGCTTCTCCAGGTAGGCGCGCATCACGATGAGCAGCTCGTCCTTGTACTTCTCCTTCTCCTTGAGCAGCATGTCGCAGTACTCGAGAGCCGAGGCCGGATCGTGGATCGAGCATGGTCCAATGATGACGAGAAGGCGGTTCTTGGGGTCGGTGCCGTTCACGACTGCAGCAACCTCCTCACGCGACTCGAGGACGGTCTTTTTGCTGGTCTCTGTTTGGGGGACTTCATGTTGAAGCAGGTCGGGGGCGCAGAGAGGATTGTAGCCACGAACTGGCAACAAGGAAGGTCTGATTAGTTTTGTCGTCGGTAGAGAGGCAAAATGCGACGAGAATGCATAAGAGTCGACATACTTCTCCAATCTTCGCTGTCGGCCTTGTTGCCCGCGTTCTTGTTCTCTATGAAGAACTGCGCGATGTGAGTCAGAGGGGCAATTTCTAGGGTTGAATGGGAGTATAGAGTCCAACTTACCGACATGATTTTTGAGTTGTTCAGTCTACCCGAGATCTCAATTGGAAGCAAGAACGAAGAGATGCTGCCGCGAATCAATTGACCTAACAACAATGATTGTGGTAAAAAATAATGAAGTTTTTTTTTCAGCTTGGCAATTACCCGTTGGTAGAATAATTTTTGGTTCTTGCCCTTGCGTCACACACCCGCTGTAGTGGAGGGGTGATCTACTATTTATGGCGGGGTTGGCCGCCTAGTCCCAATCTCCACCACAACGTCTCTGCATTCAGTTTCTTTGTTGATTTGGAAGCCCACAAAGTTCCCGTAATCGATTCCTTGCAGGAGACGTTGATCTATTATACTCCAACTTTACTGCTTGCTCAATCAGAAGCGTTGGATTGATTTTACGACTTGTGTAATTCACCCAGGAATATCATGTCAATATGCCATCTGCTTGCAAGATTTCCATTATGAAATTGTCTGGGTCGAACAATCAATTCATAACGACACATCTAGACGCCGACCTGAAAATGCGAGAGACTGCTCATTGCGTTCAGAATCCCTCCCAGAGTCCCTCTCACACTCAATTGATCTAGAAGCTTCAACCCCGCCAATGTTCTGCATGTTGCAGGGTTTGTAATGCTGCATACTCAATATGGCCATTGTGATCCTACTATGATCGTATACAACGTGCATACCCGCGCATCCAATAAGAGGCATCGTATTGACAACTCCACCGGAGATGAACTATCACGTGAAAAAGAGGATCTCACGGAGATATCGGTGCTCGACTTGCACACTTCCTTCTCTTGGCCACTGGCGTCTTGGTGTATTTCCACACTCCCATCATATAGTGTAGGTGCAGCACATATTTCATGCAAGAATCAAGTCAGTTGAGAAAGTCGACTCTGGAGTGCTTTCATTACTCCTCACTAGGTAAAATTCCTGAGCCAACATTGATTTGATCTCTGCCTTATTTTCTCATTGCCAAGTACCAACACAAACGTTTCGCATTGCACGACGATACGTGTAGTTATCAGGCTCAACAACTGATTCTTGTCCTCAGCCTCGGCCTCAGAATCTCAACGCAATCAAATTTGCCCAAGTATGTAGGGATTCTAACAAAATTTCAAGCATACACAATGTGTAAATGCTTTTATCTGGTTTGATGAGCCAGATACCTCCTTCATGTCTAGATTCGCACCCCCAGTATTCGAGTCGCCAGCAGCATGAGGCACGGGATGGTAAACTCACAATTTTGGTTGCCTCAAATATTAGTAAATGTACACTTGTATGCCGCCAAGTCATATGGGACTGTCTACCGGTTTTGGCTTCTGACTGGAATTTAGCCGTCGGCCCTCAACTGGATAAATGTATAAATGCACCCACGGTGACAGATGCGACGAACTATCCACTCTTCCATTCCCTTACTAGATATTGGAATATAGGCATTGTGATCTTTTCTTCTCTCCCGTGGACGTCGTCTAGCCTCGTTGATCATGCCTAACATTGGTCTTGTCATTCAGGGCCGCATATCAATGATCATGGGATCATCCTTGAAGATGACAGCCTCGTTGGTGGGCCTCGGGAGACAGTATAATGGAGTCGCTCTAAAAACCAAGAGCATGGGCTGGGTATGCAGTTCTTCTTCGGATTTGGGGATTATTTCGATATAGAACTGTACGGATTGATTAAAATTGAGCTGATTGGATATCCTGTGTCAAGTGTTGGTCCCAAAACTTCTGGACCAACTGAGACACGAAGATAGTGCTGAACCTCAATGCGTCAGCCGCTGGACGAATGCCAGAGAAAATAAGACTGATGATACACAACTTTAGAGAGCCATTTGTACATGTCAATAGGAGGATCCTAATAAATCAAGGTCCACTCTATCTTTGGGCTCAACAATCAGTCACCACTGACATTAATGGAATACTGCTATAATTAGAAGGGAATATCGTGCCCCAACTGCACAACCCTGATTCACTCCGTAGAGGATGCAACAAGCACTTGTGTTAACATGCGGTCATTTCTATTATATATACTACCACCCTGATTGCTGTTGGCGATATTTAGATGTGCTAAATGTATGATAAAGACCCAATGCTTTATCGATTCCCAAAATTAATACATAGGAACTCTATATCGAAGAAACAAACTTTTTAACCCTGTCCTGTGGACAGTCTTTTTCAACAGAAACGCTTTCTTTGGATTATTTGCCAGTTGACGAGACCTGGATTTGTGTCTTGACTGTAATGCCGTGGTCGTCGGTACTAGGTCTGCTCACGGAGCTCGAGTGGCTTCTCTGTGTGGACCGAAAATGGTTCTTGTCCGTGAGCTCGACCTCGTCATCCTCTATGCGGAAGTGTGACTGACCCTGCATGAAGTTGGGCGTCTGACTGTGGGCCGGACCGGTGCGGCTGTTGTAGCCGTGGCTGTTGGACGACTTGCCCGTGCGGTTCTTTAGACTGCGGAACAGCGGCGCGTAGGTCGGTAGGCAAGCGGAGATGATTGCCACGGAGGGCTCGAGACTCGACCAGCCAAAGGCCGGGCCCAGAATCCAAGAAACGTCGACGGCACCGCTATCCAACTGCACAAGGTAATAGATGCGGACAATACTGGCGACGCAGACACTAGAGTTTCACTGTCAGTATCGTGACTCCACAAGTAACACAGTAGGTGAAGACAAATGGAAAACCTTACAAGCTACCCAGCAACATGATGCCGGCGACCGACGCCTTCTTACGCTTGTTCATTTGCAGACGCGTAATACGAGGAATAGGAACGACCAAGACGAATATATCGTTGATCATGTTCACGACTCCAAATGCCAGGTAAAAGGTCAAGACCTGGATGCATTTACCATCCGTAGCACCCGTGTACTGCCTCCAGTAGAAGCTCATGGGACGGCAGGCACACGCCATAACAATCCACATGATGAACGGATATACACATGTGAAAAATGTGGCGAACCAGAACGCAATGACGAAAGGCTTGCCATCCTCGACTTTTCTGGTCTCACCGACGTAGAATAGTCGCCGGTATAGAAGCAAAATGCTGACCTTGGTCATTGTGACGGACGCTGCGTAGACCCATGGTTCGGCAAAGACAACCTGTGCAAAAGATTACGCATGTCAATATGTCGTCGTCAAACATGGTACCGTTGGGATCGGAAAGGAGTAACATACCTTCATCAAGGAGATGAATGAGTCGATGGTCAATGCCCAAATATGTCTGCCCGAGCCATATTGTCCAGCTGTTCGTCAATTCTAGTCAGCATCATCGACACTGCGAAACCTGAAGACGTCGCCAGCTTCTTCTCCATCAAGTGGGCTTACCAATGACTGTCGTAGCTACGAGCGCGCCAGTGAACATCTGTGGAGAAGGACGTGTAAGAAACCATTCATTTTCGTAACCGGAATTCGCGAAATCGAGGAAAGCGAAATGTCGGTGTCCAGCATCGTTGAGAGAAGCTTACAAGAGCAATAAGTATCGTGAAGTCGTCTAGAGCCAATGATGCCCTATTCGTCATGCGGACCCAGAATCTCAATGCCACCGCCGCAGCCGCCAAGCCCAGTACCACGCAGGAGACGATGTCGTAACCGACATATTGTTCTTCGCTTAAGTCGGTGCCATCCGGAGGGCTGCCAAAGACGGCCAGGATGGTCGGGTCGAGTGTTGACACATTTGTTGTCGACATGTTGGTCGGTTGTCGCTGCGTGAATGGATCTTTCCTGGAGACTTGATGGTCCTAGAGAAGAGCATGCATACGGACGCACATACACACATAAACATACATCACTCTCCAGTAGGAGGGTTTTTTTTTCGAAGCAAGGAGTAGTTTACATGGAATTAAGTGGCCGCTTGCCCCAGACATATTGAAGCCGGACTCCCTGGAATGGACACTGGTGCCAAGCCTTTTCACTGCCATCTTCAGTACCGTACCTGACATTCTAGTATGATTCAAGCTTGCCCCCTTCCCCGTAATTCCTGCAGACCAAAACGAACCAATGGCGGATATTCCCATGATCCACACATCCAACGTTCACCGTCAATGACATCCCGTACCACAGTAGTCGGGAGAGAGAGAAAAAATCTTTCGCCTCCATACTACTGGCCAGGCATGAATATGGAACCTGACTCGTCTTTGCGGGCATCCTAGCCCACCCCCAAAGAGGGTACCACAGGCACGTATAATTTTGTAATTAAACCCTATCAGATTCCCATCCTCTAAAATGATCATGAGTGAGGCTGTCTGGTGCAGATCTCGATAACATTCGGCGCAGGCGTACACACGCGGCTCTCACCCTTCACGGCGGATCTGTCATTTGTGTAGTGTCGGCCGAGTCGGAATCGGGTGATATACGAACGATTATGAAGCCAAGCGGAAGCCAACGAACGTTGATCAGATTCAATTCACGGGAGGCCGGGATACCGGGGCGAGGACTTGGTACTGCACTACTATGTAGTACGAATACATTTGCCAGGGCCTAGGTACGGTAATGTACGGTATTTGGGTAGGGATTCCCAGGCATATTTCCGCGAGTGCCAATACGTACGTTTATAGCGAGTACCGAGAATGCGCTACACCCTTTTGTCGGAGGGTCGACGTAGCTCAACGGCTCCCAATTTGCCAGAAGGACCCTGGATTCCAACTGTGGATACGGCGTGCGCATGATCCAACTGAATGGCCCGAATGGAATCTAAACCCTATCCAGTCGCGGGTCATGCCGCGGCTGGCAGATCTCGCTGGATCATTCATGGGAAGCAAGAAAATTCTGTATACACTACTGTATATAGATGGCGATCATGTCCCTGATCAAGTTGCCCCCTTTCTCGCTTATTTATCTCTCATTCATACCTGACTCTGCTGCTAACGTGCTTGTGTCAAGCACCATGTGGTTCAAGAGCAGCTAAGGGGTGCAATCCTGGTTTCTTGGCAGACTATAAAAATGGGGCTGGTTTCTATTGTATCAGTAATAGTCCGGAAACGTCCAGATCCTTTGAATGGAGACGAAAGAGCACGTTCACAGTTACTAGTACTATAGATAATATGAGTCCCCATAATATACTAATACATTTACCCAGACTCTTATCCACACTCCCCCCTTCCCCAAAACATGGTCGATGACAAAGCCATGATGAAGATCACGGGCTATTCGACCTCAATGGACGTATACGTACTTTGTACAAGCTTATCACCTCGGCAAAGGACCCCTTTAAAGGGGAAGAGCTAATTGATATTTCCGTATATGCTTCGATAATTACCAAGTCTGGCGATTCTAGAAATTTTCTCTCATTCAACTTCAGTTCCTTCTACAATCGGATCATCCACTTGCACTCTGTTTCAGCATAATCCTTCCACATCACTTTTAATAAACCAAATTAAAGATGGCTGTGATTGACAAGGCACCTGTTCTCCTGGGCCCCGAGCAGACGGGTCCCAAGGGATGGATCCAATCCATGATCTGCCTCGAACTGGCAGACAACTATGATGCTGACGAGATCTCGTCCATCCTCAAGAAGGCGTGGGCCACCTTCACGGCGCGGACGCCCATGGTCGGCGTCGAGGCCGTGCCTCTGGGCGGCGACCTGAAGCCTGCTGGTCAGCTCAAGTTGCAGCCGTACGGCGCCGGCGAGGTCGAGGACTTTGTGGTCAAGGACCACCGCGCAGACGAGACTCTGCCCACCTTTGCTCAGATCAAGGCTCAGGGTTTCCCCAACTCGGCCGCTGGCCACGCCAAGTTCTGCCTGCGCGGTGCCAATGGCCCCTGGCCCATCTTTGGCGTCGACAGACTGGCCACCAACTTCATGCAGGCCAACCTGATCAAGGGCGGTCTGCTCATCAACCACCTGTGCTTCCACGCCTTTGGTGATGGCACTTCCATGTGGAAGCTCGTCCAGATCTTTGCCGAGGACGTGCGGAGGGCCCAGGGTCTCGCCGTTGAGCAGCCTGTTGAGATTCCCACGGCCGACCGGGCCAAGCTCCTCAAGGCCACCGGCAAGAATGTCTGTGCCAACTTTGCCCAGGAGCACCAAGAGTACATCCACCTGCCCTTCACGCCCGATGCGCTGCCCGACGGCCTGACCAAGGCCAAGCACCACGCTCACGTGTTCCGCTTCACCCCCGAGGCCATCCAGAAGCTCAAGGCCGAGTGCTCGCCGGCCAACGTCCGCGTGCTCAAGAGCCTGGTGGCCCAGGACCAGCTGCCCAAGTTTGTCTCGACCAACGACGTGCTGACGGCGCTGCTCTGGCGCACCGCCCAGCGCGCCGAGCAGGCCGACCACGCCGCCTACGACGGCACCGAGACCCCCTCGGTCGTCATGGTGGCCCTCGACGCCCGCCGCCGCACCCACGTGCCCGTCCACCCCCACACCCTGGGCAACATTGTCGGCTACTCGCCGGCCATTCTGCCTCTCTCAAAGGTGCTCAACAGCTCCGAGGCCACGCTGGCCGACCTGGCCTGCCTGATCCGCATCGGCGTCAACAAGTGCGGCAGCACCTACTACGACGAGGTGGCCCACTACATTGAGAACATGGACGACGTGAACCGGCTGGCGGGCACGGCCTTCCTCGACATGCCGGGCAAGAACGTGCTGCAGAGCAACTGGAGCGAGTTTGACTACTACGGCATCGAGTGGGGACCCGCCTTTGGCGACCGTATCAAGGCCGTCCGTTTCCCGGCCGGCGGTGTCTGCGCCGGCTTCCAGATCATCATGCCTACGCACCCCGACAGCCCGGCTGGAACCGTGGACGTGTTGACTGATGTGTCGGATGAGGCCTGGCCACGGCTGCTACGCGATGAGACCTGGAACACGTATGCCAAGAACCCCACCACGGTGGCGTACGAATAAACTGTTCCATGATGACAAGCAGTCATTCTTGTTTTTAGATGATAGATAGATCGATACTGCTCTAGTATAGACCTAATGATAATACCCAATACCTGCTCAAACTTGTAACCTCAAAGAATACATCGTGATCTACTGATATCCAATCACATGTCAAAATGTCTCCCGGCATGTACATACCGTAATTGATCGTCGTCTCGAGAATGTCTACAGAGTACACACTTTGGAGTCGGAAGTGACGAGGGCCCCTGTTCGATTTCTGGAAGGAATCGCATGATGGTGGATATGGCATGCATGGCAGCGGACCCGTCCCGCCTAAAGACAAGGAGTAATTTCCACGTGGGTGGGCAAAGGCAAGGGTTACATCCCAGGATACCTCGTGGGTATGATAAGAGTATAGCCTGCCGGCTTGTTCCCGTTGGACAAGCCTCTATTTTGCTAACGATTCCAAGTCAGCATTGTTGCCCCATCCCGAGTCAGTATCCATCAGATCCTTCCGCCCCGAGCGTCTGGACCCTGTGGCTTTTTTTGTCAGGAGATGTCGCCAGGCTTGTCTGCAGCAACAATGGATTACATGCGGCAGACAAGCCCGGGATGGACAAGGGTCCAAGTTTGCGATAATACAGGGTAGCTGCACTTACAAGCTTACTTACACACGTGCAAGGTGTTTTATGACCCAATCTCTTGCCATCATTTGAAACACTGCCTAAGCAAACAAATCAGACATCATGGCAACGACGACGGATTTACAGCAGCCTTTCAAGGTAATCATCGCCGGCGGGTCGGTGGCTGGCCTCACGCTGGCCAACATGCTCGAGCGGGCTGGTATCGACTTTGAAGTGCTCGAGAAGCGAGAGGTCGCACCGCAGCTCGGCCAGTCGATTCTTGTCCTGCCTTGCACCAACTTGATCCATGCGCAACTGGGCCTCAAGAAGCCGACAGAGCAGGGCGCAATCCCTATAGGTGTACGAGACCACTGGGACGACAAGGGAAAATTATTCTGCTCCTCGGATGAGTTGATTCAGCTCGCGCGCGTGTAAGTAAATATCTATACGGACAAAGACTGTCTTGGTTGCGCACGTATTCTGACATGGTCCCAAGTCAGAAGCAGCCTGTATACTTTATAGACCGCAAGATATACCTCCAGAACATCTATGATGGACTCAGCCCGGCATCCAAGTCCAAGGTCCGGGCCCAAGAAGGTATCGAATCGTACACGGAGCACGAAAACGGCGTAACAGTCCGGACAGACAAAGGCAATATCGTCGAGGGCAGCATGCTGGTCGGCGCTGACGGCGTGCACAGCGCCGTGCGACATCTCATGGCACAAGCGATCCAGGAGACAGACCCGAAGAGGGCGGCGATCTTGACCACTGGCTTCAGGACAAGATACCGCATCCTCACGTGCACCTCAAACAACTACTTTGCCAATGATCCCAAGCGTCAATTCCTCAAGGACGGCATGACCAACAACACGTACTACCCCGAGCACGGTGTTGGAGGTTTCACAGTGTCTGGAGTCGAGGGAAGAATCTTCTGGGCCATTTATATCAACAATGGCGATGAGAAGGCCTACCCCAGCGCAAAATATGGCCAGGTTAGTAATATTCTCTCCCGAGATCGACACTCTGAGTATAGAAAGACGCTCTCCCTTGGGAATCTCGCTGACAAGATTTGCACGTTTTCGTAGGCGGACATTGACGAAGCCATGAAGAAATGGGGTCACCTCCACCTGAACCCCGACTACACCTTCAACGACCTCTATGATAGCCTGCTGGGCGCCAACATGCTGTCCATGGAGGAGGGTGTGCTGCCGACCAAGTGGCACTCGGGCAACCGGACCGTCCTGATGGGCGATTCGGTGCACAAGGCGACGGCAAACCTGGGCATGGGCGGCAACCTGTGTGTCGACGACGCCTGCCGCCTGACCAACGAGCTCAACACGCTGCTCCAGCACAACCCGCAGCCATCGACGGCCGACCTGGTAAAGGTCTTTGATACCTATGACCGCTCGCAGCGCGCCCGTGCCGACTTTGTCTGCAACGCGTCGGCCGTCTTTGCCGGCTTTGAGACCATGAGCAAGTGGTACGCCAAGCTGGTCAAGCTCGTCTTCCCCCTGGTCCCTTCGTCGCTCAAGATGCGCGTCTTTTCCATCTTTGACAGCGGTGCGCCTGTGCTGGATTTCCTGCCCCTGCCCAAGGAAGCTGCTACTGCTACTGCTTAACTCAAAGCGAATTCCCTACCATGATAACATGATGAGACGCAAAGTGGCTCTATTCTGAAGCCAGCTCTGCATCAAATCCCATGTATTATCCATGACCTAGAAAATCAACCAATAGAAAGGTGTTGGTCTCCTGGAATATAATTCTTAATTTAGATACGTATCTTGTTTCCATCGTGAACGTCGCACATCCCGAGATGATCATTGTGACGCCTTCCCATAATGGTTATAGTACAGCACTATGGTTTGTATGGCGAAGTGGCATCATATGAAGGAGCATGGATCGGCCCCAGTTTTATGTCGGCCGACTGACTCGGGTCCCGGGCGGCTGTCACAGCCCTGGAGAGAAAAAAAAAAAAAAGAGTTCGAATTGCCAGTCTGTAGTATGTACTGCCGAAGCTTGGATGACCTGATATTTACTTGGCCTGTGCCAATATTTTTAATAACTTGAACAGGTTGGACCCTTGGAAAAAGAGGAAAAGCCGACGCCGTTGAATTCTAGGCTCTAGTGAATCAACTAGTAGCAAGATGAAGTCTGGAGATGGTTAGCTGTTAGTCAGCAAACGGTAATTAACTAACTCGACCATATGGAGCCGGGTGTGTCTCTAACAGCTTTTTTGATACGACAGGGATACGCAAGTTCATGGCGTCCCCGGCTCCGTCGTACGCCGCATCGAGTGGATATTTTTTTTTCAATCTGTACCGTAGATCGTGGTTCGAGGCGGCCACGTACGTGGGAAGAGGGTCCGGTAGCAGGCTAGGTAATACAGAGACATGATCGTTGTGCAAAGGGCCAGGGGACGGATAGGTACCGGGGGTTAAAACCCCTTTCCTTGTCCTTCGAAATACCTGCGTGCCCGCTGCAGAAATGCAAGCACAGAGACGCACCCAACTCTTTCTGATGAACCACAAACACGTGGTGAGTAAGGGGAGAGGGCAAGGGTATCCAGCTCGGCCACAATGTGGTACCTTGTCCTACTCGTCCAATGCCATGTTTGCAACTCCAGAATCGCGCGACGACGGATATAATTAAGCGTCGGAGTCGGAGGCAAGCCCGAAATCAAATCACACCCTTGGCCTAGACCCAGCCCAAATCATCCGGATTTGCGGCAGGTCAGCGGCACAACCGCTTGCTTGAAAAACGCCCAGTGACATAGATGGCTTGATGGCCAAGAACTTCTAGAAGCGGTACTTTACGCAAACGCTATCGCTGCTTTCGTATTCGCACCGTTGCTGGTCCTGACCGTTGAATGAGTTTATTTGCGGCGTACTTCCGTAGTTTCCGCATTCCAACAGTAGATAAAGGTTCAGTTGGTTGCGAAGAAATGTCCGGCTGTCGCTTGAGAGACAGAATGGGGGAAACACAGACGGTTACAGAGGGTTGCTTCAGTGTAGAGCTTCTTGCTGAGCCATATCAGGACGTCCAACTGTTCGTGGATCCGGAAGAGTAGCCTCGGTAATAGGCGTGACAATATTCCCATATGTCACATGGTCTCCTGCAAAGAAAGGTCACCATTATTCCCGTGGATCTTGATCAGCTGTGGAATCATTGCCGCAAGGTACTAGCTTCAAGAAAGGCATACATGTCGTGAGAGGGGCGTTCCCCATCACTCCATGATGAGCGGCACTACCGCATATTATTGCCACGCGAAGTGTGAACTTTGTGTGGTTTTGACTGGGGAGCTCTGGAACCTTCATCCATCCACATCGGTCCCGATTCGGGCGCCAAGTCCCAACCTGAAGCCGCCAGTTCAAACAAAATTGTCGAGTCTGCGGGGCCCCTGATATGATGCTTTCCCATTCTGTAGATGGTAGTAGTATCGAATCACTCTTGAAGGATTCGCTCAGGGGATATCCCGTCAATCATCGACTCAACTCGCTCCACTGGCGGGACTGGCTTGTAGCAACCCATCGAATAACCGAGACGGCATATCAATGTTTGGCTTCTGTAACTTCCTAATGTCCAATAGACCGCCTTTATCTGTAGCAAGTTGGAATGTGGTAGAACACTACCATGAAGCATTGGGCCTTTGACGAGCACGTGCCAAGATATCAACTCTTGTCAAGTCTTATCTCTACTTTCTGACAGGTAGCGGTCCAGAGATAGACGGAATGCTCGGGCTAGTAAGTCTGCTGCTAGACGGTACACGTCACGGAATCTTCTGTCAACTCTTTGAGACCTTCATGAAAGATGTATACCATAACACTCACATGTGCGCTTGTTCGTGACTCGACGAGAACAAGCAAGCGATCGCCACTCAACGGTAAAATGTCATGATCGAGACCAAGACCACAAGAACGATTCTACTCTTTAATCGACACCTTCGATGAGGGTACTTGGCCCAGATCTTGTATACATGTCGTCTTCCCTAAGTCTACAATTCCTTGACCATATGATGCAGCCTCAGCATGACAGATGATATGCTGACTGACGTGCTGAACATTGACATGATTCTATAAACACAAGCAACGCAAATTCGCTTTCTAGAAACACGAAGCACTTCTATGTCATCACCAGCCCCAATCAATCTCAGCTTCTACCACACAGTCGACCCGGCGCATTCGCGCTGCACCAAGGGCCTCAGGCAGCCAGTACACCCACCTAGGCAGTCTTCTTGGCGACAATCTCCCTTTCCGGGTCCTCGACGCCGTTGAGCTTGCCGTACAACCACTTGAGACCCATGGTACTGGCAGCCATGACGAGCGCCGACGAGGAGAAGAGGGCCGCGCGCTGCCAGGTGGACAGCAGCGCAAAGATGGGGTACGGATACCAGCCGTTGCGGCCAAAGCACACCTCGACCCAGGCCCAGTAGCCCAGGGCAAATACGAGGCTGAGCGACAGGGCGCTGCCGCGCTGGATGGCCCACGGCGGGCTAAAGAGCAGCAGGTCCACGGCCAGCAGCACCCCGGGGGCGGCGTGGAAGCCCACGTCGGGCAGCACGTCGAGCTGGAACTCGGGCGGGAAGACGAGCGACTTGTCAATGGCGCACAACCCCCAGTACAACACTGTAATGAGGATCTCGAGCGGAGCCGCGACAACGGCCAAGCCGTTCTTGAGACGAAAGAGCGGCGGCGACAGCGTCAGGTCGGCCGCCAGTCCGACGGAAAAGGTGGCCAGTGACAGCGCCAGGCCAATAATGGTCAGGAATTGGTAGTTGCCGCCGTACGAGTTGGACAGGGGCGTTTCCCACTCGTTCAGGAACCGGAACGATAGCAGAAACGATGTGATGCCGGCGGCGTGGAGGATGAGGGAGAGCGACCGCGATGGCGCGCGGATACGCTGGAGCGGATGCACAGCCGCCGTCATGTTGTGTGGGTGATAGAGAGGTTTGGTTGAATTCTACTGGCTGACAATGTATTCCGTACGTCCTGAGATATATATCCCGTCTATAGTCTAAATCAATTGACTGCGCCAAAGGAAAGCAAAAGAGTTTATGTCCTGATCATTTGTGTAAACGCAGGGGATTAACCAAGAAATCAGCGCGACGAAAAAAGTGACCAAAGTAAACACGCCAGACCCGCGCTCATGACGTTTTGATTTTGGAGCAGATGCAGCGGCTTCACCCACTAGAATAGGGAGCTTCCGCAGCCACTTTAGGTGGGTCGGTAGAGCGCTACAATCCCCAACCAGCCTACCTAGAATCCACGTGGTTAATCCGCTGTCTCGGGGTCCCGGATGACAGAATATTCCCGGTCGCCCCGGATCCATATACGCCCGTTTTCTTACATGAGCATACTCTGCTTACGGCACAACCCTCGCATGCGGCCTCGATTTCTCGGAAGGCAACGTACAGAGTACCAACAAGAAATTTGGCAAATCAGGCAGCATAATAATGGGAAAGAGCCAATCATGAAGTAAGCGTCACATGCCTGACATGATATCTCAAGTAAGGTCAAGTAGGATTCAACGAAGAAAAGCATTGGAGACTTTCTGATGATTTGTACAGTAAATCACACCATTATGCCTGCCTATCCGATATCACAACACTACCAGCCATCGACAACCTTAGCATACACATACATGCCCTTGGCAGGCCTTGCCGTGATACCACCCTTGATCAGGACCTTGGATTCGTCAAATTCCTCCTTGTTGTACAGTTCAAATTCAAAACGCCCAACCCACTGTGCCAACAGACACGCAAACTCGGCCTTTGCAAAAGATGACCCGATGCAGCTCCTGGGTCCGTGTAGGAAGGTCATGTAAGCATAGTTGCTGGTGGCTCCTCCACTGGCGGCCGACTTGTCCGTCTCGTCCTTGGGAATCCACCGGTCTGGGTTGAACTCTCCGGCGTCGGGTCCCCATTGCTCCTTGTCCAGGTTAATAGCCGCGGGCGGGAGGATGACCCGGACACCCTTGGGAATGTGGTGTCCTAGGATGCTCGTGTCGCGCACGGTTTGGCGAACCGTCAACGGCACCGGGGGATAGTACCGCAACACCTCGTTACAGACAGCGTTCAAGTAGGGCAGGCGGTCGATTTGCAAGCTATCCACGTCCTGATCCACGTCGGCCGAGGGTAGGTGTTCCCGGACCTCCTCTCGTAATCGCTTTTGCATCTCTGGATATCTGGACAACATGTAGACTGCCCACGTCATTGCTGCAGCGGTGGTTTCGTGTCCGGCAGCGAGGAATGTCATTAGCTGGTTGACCAGATCTTCATCGGAGAAGCCACCCGACTCAATGGCAACCGACAAGATGTCGACGTCGGTCAGCTCCTTCCTTGCAAGCTTCTCCTTCTTCTCGACGACGAGGTCCCGACAGACCGACTTGATGATCTTGGCCGCTGATTCAATGTCGTTGTTACGCTTTACTGGCAGATTCTTGATGACGAAAGCAGGCAAGAACAAGGACAAGAGGTTCAGTATTTGAGCCTGCTTCGAGGGCTGGAAAACCGTTCGGTAACGCTCATTGATCTCGTTGTTGGGATCCCTGATGGAATTGAAATCGCGGCCCATCCCTGCCACGCCGATAATGTCCAGCGTGGCCCGCGATGCCCAATTACCCACCTCGATGACGGCTGTGTTTTCGCGGTTCGCAAGAGCTTCTTCAGCATCTGTCGAGATGTTCTTATTCTTGGCATCTGCCAGGATAGACTCGGTCATGGCCTGGACTCCACTGCGGCCAATTCGCCAAAAGACGGGATACAGATCCTTGATGTGTCTAAATGCAAAAGCGGGTAAGAGATTTCGGCGCTGTCTCTTGTGTTCGTCGCCCTCTGCGACCAAGACGCCAACTCCTAGGATCCGGCCCAGAAAGGTCTTGAGCTCGGGTGGCTTATTAAAGTCATAATTGCGGTGGACGAGCACCTCTGCTAGCGCCTTGTCTCCATTGATGAACAGACGCTCTTGGTTGAAGGCTCCTAGGTAACGTATGATACCCTCGTTGGGCACCTCACGGATCCTGCACATTAAGTTAGCCTGTGTTCACGTCTTCTTGCCTTTTCACCAACTACTGACCATTTACGGTGTGGGTAGCCGGAAGGCAGTTCACGGATAATCTTAAACTGGCCCATAAACCAAGAGTTGCCATCTTTAGGTTGAGGTAGATGGCGCAGGGGAGAGAAAAAGTTGGGGTATAGGATGATGGACCAGACGCCAAGCACAAATCCTTCCAGCAGCGCGATGGCGGCAAAGACACTTATGGACTTGGATATTGACGACGAGCCATGGTAGGTCGTGATGAGATAGGTAAAGAGGAGTGACGATATCGCCACCAACCGTGAGCGGGAAAGCATGATGATTGGGATGGTTGGGAGTGCTGCAGATTTGGTCGACTGTCAAAGCCGTCAAAAGGGGGCAAGCGAGGTACAATTCACCCAGATTCACAGCTGTTTTGTTTGGTGAAATAGGAAAATCCAAAATAGCTCCCACTAGCTTTTGAACAGCTCTCAGAGTCTCTGGGCTGAGGACGAAAAGGAAGCTGCGACGGCTGGGTCGGACAGTTTCAGAAGTAGATCCGGTTTGCAAGGGGGTTAGCGAGGTATTCGTCCAGTATTTATCGTTGACGCCAGCAAAATGCTGCAATCTATTATCATCTTATTTGTGCCCGCGATCCGTGTACAAATGCAGCCCTTGCAGTCAGTCCTCTACTAATTGTTAGTGTAGACCGCGGCTGAGCCTGGTAGGATCTTGCAGAATATACTAGGGGCAAGGTGAAGAAATAATGGAACCCAATCCTTTTGGCATGTCGCGAGTGGTGATGTCCATATTACACATCAACTATTTTGGGGCAATGACCTGTTCTGCTAAAACTACTACCTAAAACCGGTCGCACGGTTGGCCCAGATGCCGCTGAGCTTGTGTGGGTTTTTTTACCCATAGTGGACTAGTCTGCTGGATCTGCTGCTGCTGCTGCCCAGAAATCAGAGAGACCAGAATTCAAATTCCTATCTCCAGGTCGAAGCGTAACCGAGTGCGAGTCTGAACCACCTACATGCGTATTACACAAGTGGGACGAGGGCGCGTGATCACCACCATCCTTTGGCTAGCATGCCAGTCTAAATGATGAGGCCTTGCTGATGCCAACGTCAATTTTTTTCTTAACCGAGTAAATACGTGTTCCATTACCAGCCTAGCAGGTATCCCAAGCCTGATAATCGGAGGCTTGTTCGCAACGCCGCTGGAGTCGGGCGTTATACACCAACTCCGTCCGTTCCCTCGGGTCTCTTTGCCGAGGATTATTCCGTAATTGGGGGAGGAGAGAGAGAATCTGCAGCAAATCTGCGCGCTAACGAAATCTATGCCCCGAACGGGTGTTCAAATCGCTAGAGTCGTCAGGGCCCGTGTGACCTTTGGATGCCCGTTTCATCCTGGGACAACGTCAAACCCGCTGTCCATGTAATGAGCCTTTTCACATAAATATTATGGATTAAACGATTCGTGCAATGAGGCAGAATTTCATGTACTCGAGGGATCGTGATGGTAATGATGAAGGCAGATATTCAGTGGTACAACATTACGATTGGAATGCTAGCAAGCAATGCGCGCCCAGACTTGTGGCGTGCGTCCATGGTACAAAGTGGCCTGCCTCAAAAAGTCAGGCGGGCTTCAAATTATCCCGCTGATCAGAGTCCGTTGGACAGGCGGGCGAGCACTGTAATGTCTCCGAGGCGTCGACTTGGTGGCTTTGATGATCATTTGCATACTGCTGCCTGAGAAAGATATCAAAGATGCTGGTTGAATCTTATCACAATATTCATAAGCCATTGCAAGTCTTTGAATAAATGTGCCATGAGGTTATCCAATGAACAATTGTTGGCATTTGCGCCTGTTCTTCGTGAAATCCTCACGCAAAACCTAAGGACCTCCTAACCTTATCTTCATAACTCAATGAGCCTACAGCTAAAATCTAATCGACTGCAAATATGAGAATGGATGCGCGCATAGATTTAGGTATACCGAAGAATGTATAACATAATCAAGTATAGATAGCTGCAATACTCGTATGTTACGCTCTCCTGTTGCAAACACGCTGTCTTATTGGCCGGTGGATAATCCGTACGAATCAAGGTAATGGCACAACCAACAGCACCTCATCGGCTGCTACTTTTATGACCGGGCTATAATCTGTCTGACCACTGTTGCCAAATACGCCAGCATAGATCACATAACTCCCGATTTAGCAATCCCACTACTATACTTGACGTATTTTGCCAGATATAATCTGAAAACATGGCGTCTCCGTTGGCCAAGATTGGAATCCTGTCGATCGGTGACATGGGCATGGGTATTGCCAAGCTTCTCATAGCTCATGGTTTCTCAGTAGCAACCTGCGGCCGAGGTCGAAGGTGAGATGTTGCCGTCTCATTCAAGAACAAAACACAATGGAACTGATGAATTAATCAATTGTTCAGCAACGACACCATCGAGCGCGCCAAGAGCGCCCAGGTCGACGTCCTCGCCTCCGACGTGGAGCTGACAGACGCCTGCTCCGTGATCCTCTCGGTGGTGCCGCCGCGCGACGCGACCGCCACCGCAGAGCGCATCATCGACGCCCTCGTCGGTACCACGGCGAGAGATCCTCCCTTGTACTTTGCTGACCTCAATGCCGTGGCGCCATCGACGGCTCGCTCCATTGCCGCGCTGATTGAAAAGTCTCGTGCCCCTGTCCGCTTTGTGGACGGAGGCATTATTGGCGCGCCGCCTTCGATCAAGAAGGAGGAGGCGGCAGCGAACTCCGAGGCAGCAGCGCCCCAGTGGAACAAGGCGAGTATCCCAATGTCGGGCCCGCACAAGCTGTCCGATATCCCCGGGTACGGCCAGGACCTGGTATCGGCGCTCAACGCGCGGCACATTTCGGACGACATTGGGGCAGCGAGCGGGCTCAAGATGTGCTTTGCCAGCATGACCAAGGGGTTCACATCAATTGCGATCCAGTCGTTTACGACGGCGGCCCGGCTGGGGGTGCTGGACGAGCTGCGGGGCGAGATGGCGCCGGCCACGCTCCAGCGGGCCGAAAAGGGCGTCGTCGGCATGGCGCCCAAGGCCTACCGCTGGGTGCGCGAGATGGAGGAGATTGCTCTCACCTTTGAAGAGGACGGCGGCTTTGCCCAGGACTCGTTCCGGGGCGCCGCCAAGGTCTACAAGGCCGTCGCCGAGGACTCGGAGCTCGGCCAGGAAAAGATTGGTAAGCGCAAGAGGGGAACCACGGTCGAGGATATGGCTGCGGCCATGATTGAAGGCATGGACAAGCGCAAGAAGAAGAACGTCTAGGTATTTAAAGCCCGAATGCGGGATTCATGTGCGTCATTTGAGAATGTTTGAGGACAAGTGCTCTGTAGATTTGATTCTTCCGGATACAGCCAATGATATTATTGTCACTATCAGCCCAAATCAAACACCGTTGCCCACTTGCGATATCTGCGATTGTGGTTGTGTCCGTTTCTCTCGATGCCTTCTTCGCAACTCGTGGACCTTTTCTTTTACAGTGATTGTCTCGCCTTCTAAACTTGCCTTGCCTCTTCCTTCTCCCAGCTCCTCTAGATCCTTGGTCGCGAGAACTTGCTTCTCTCCGTCAATGAGTACAGGCCGCTGAACATTGGGCAGATAAGCCCAGGAATACACGGCGCCAAGGGCTAGAACTGAGCCAAAGAGAATAAAGATTAGACCCTGCCGATTGGTGCTCTTGTACTTGTTGTTAATGCCATATACTACGGCGAGAGCAAGAATCGATCCCAGCTTCCCTGCCGCCGCTGATATCCCATGACAAGTACACCTATAGCAGGTGGGAAAGATTTCTGCCGGAATCACAAAAGTGAGGGTGTTGGCGCCAAAATTGAAGGCAAAATGACTCAGAGCCACGAGGGTAACAGTCGCCGGTGCTCCATGTGTGTATGCCACACCATAAAAAACACAGCCAGTGATGACAAATAGTACCGCCAGCGTGATGAAGGAAACCGTCAGCCACTGTCGCCGCGGAAGGCGATTCGCGAAATAAATAAAACATATGCTGCCGGCAATGGAGCTGATGGAAACTGTAAGAAGATACTGTTTTGCTTGTTCCAAGAGTACATCGTAAATATTGTTACAAGGCATTGTCTGGTCTGTCGCCCAGTTTGGGAATGTCTTCCAGCTTGGGACTGTAGAATTGCCGTCCGGGAGCGTAGAGTTCCAACAGGAAAGTTTAGAATCCAGAGGCTTGTGCTGGGAAGTTGCCCATATGTCAGCGAGGGTTCCCCGATTATCGAGGGAGAAGCCATAGAACCCGACATCCAATCTGTGATCAATACAGTCAGTGACACTCTGAAGCTGGATTGTGCATCTTTGTGACAAATGTAAACATACATGAACCACGACATGGCTGTGCCTGGGTGATAGTTAGTACATGCGCATTTCCAGACATCTGTAAGTAAAACTTACCAAGCAAGTAGTACCAGTTCTTGTCACGGATGAAGTAATTGTACAGGTCGTCTCTCGAAAATTGTACAGGCTTCGCCTCTGGCGATCTTACACGGTTTGCCCCCGGGGAGCCCAGAACCACGCCACCAGACGTCTCTGATGTGACATATATCCTGCGAGTATCCCGCAAGGCAATTCCTGGCTTGTGTTTCACCTCGAGCTGGTATAGGCCGCAATCGTAGAGAAAGAAGCGGAATATTATGGCCAAAAGCGCGGGAACAGCGCCAGATCCAATGACGATGCGCCATATACCATCAACAACCTTTTTGCATTCTTCGTCATGCTTTGAGTTGATGCCGCATTCCATCGCCTGCAGGCCGTACTCCTTGTCGCGGCCTAGCAGGACCCAGAGGCCAACAAGCTGTGCAAGTGCTTGGCCGACGGGCTGCATCAAGAACACAGAGCCGAGCATGGTGGCCCTTGATTGCGTACTGGCCCACTCTGAAGTGATGACGGCGGATAAAGGGTACTCAGCTCCGATACCTGCAAGACGATCAGTAGTCGTATCTGTGGAGGTTGGTTATTTGGCAAACGCACCTATTCCCATGACAAATCTCCACTACTCATATCGAGTATCAGACATCTAGACAAGTCGGTCGAGAAGCAGAGGGGAACTCACCCAGACGAAGAGTGCCAGAAACGACAAATTGTTGTATCCAAAGCTGCTCGTGGCCACGCCAATCGTGGATACGATGACGAGCACGAGTTCGATTCCATATAGTTTGGTTCGGCCATATCGATCGGCAAGATACCCAAACAGAAGTTGGCCACAGACGGACCCCAGAAGAGTGAAGAGATTGATAATCAAGCCCGGGTATCTATCGTGAGGAAAGTAAACAAATGATATAGAAGCTAGAATTACATTAGTTGAGAAGAGGTTGTAGCTGTCGTACGAATTAGCCCAGCTCTCGTCACACAACCTCGAAACGGCCACTGGTTCTTGTGTAACAGCGACACAGAAAAACTTACGAGTCCGTGAGGAAACCAGAAGCTGCAACACCCCAGATTCTGAGGTTCCAGCTATTGAGATCAAGCTCATATCGCAGCTGACGACGATCCTAAGATCCATCCACGGCGACTTAGTAAGAGGTTCCGCCAATCTCAAAAGTACGGCAGCTTCATGACCATCCCATGGACGTACCTGGAGATCCCTAGCTGGCAAGGCAGAACTATCAAAGCCCAGAAACCCTCGATTCCGTCGTACCTCTGGATATAATTCGCCGTCCATTGTCAAACCCGTCGTAAAACGGCGCACCAATGTTCATATCCGCGTTCCGCGTCTCAACCCGTTTCCGTGCAATCGCCCGACCTGCTTGCTTATCCCCAAAGCAGGTGGATATTCAAGATAATGAATACTACCGAGTTCTGGCCTATTCCGGACCCATTTGTGGACGGTAAGTTCCTTTTGGCTTGGGATAACCTCTGGGGCTTTTCGAGTGGATATGTGGACAAGTTTTTTGAGCGCAGGATCGTCCTCTGCTGCAAGTGCAAAATTACAGGATTTTTTTTTATCGCAGGACGTCACGCTCTTATGAGCGATATACGAGCACAGCGCAAACCATCTCTCTGAACGGGGTAAGAAGTATTTTCTTCAGAAACCAAAGACGTTGAATTAAAGAGCGAAACATGCCGTATTTGACCACCCTCCCTCCCTCCCCCCAAGCAGATTACTCGAGATCAGCAAGCCAGGCTAGCGATCCAGGAGTGTGGTTCTGGGCCTGGAGCCGTCGAACAGGGGGATCAACAATTGGTGGCGCTTCGCCCAGCTGGGCTGAGATTGAGGTAGGGCACCTCAAAGTGATCACCGAGTACCAAAGATAAACTACACACATGTTCTGTTTGAGCCGCATCATGATTCCTTTTCTACATACGAACTTGACGTTTGACATATTGATCCTCGCTCTAGTCTCAAGTACACGTGAGATCCGTTGAGCATTACGCACATCTCATGCACGGAAGAAGGACTGTGCAGCCGCTGGGATACAACTCTGGGATGAAGCCCTTGGAGATAAGTAGCAGACCCCCACCCACCCCATCTCCAACCATCCATCGGCTGCCAGGTTACTACAATCGGGAGCGATACGTATGTGCATAAGTTACATGCGTCGACATTACATTTGTTGGAACCATCAACGGGTGTCATTAAGAGGATTCCGTGTCAAGGCTGTATGTCTATGTATATATTCTTCATATGTAGGAGTGCAAGTACTCCAAACTTGTACAATTTGGACGATCCAGGACTCGGTGATTGATGGAGGGCGGAGACGAGCGTTACAGTACGAGTGCGGCTCGTCACTACAAAAGACCCTTGCCCTGTGCCGTTATACTAGACCGGTGAGACCTACCGTTTCAGCGGATCACCATTGCTCTGTGTGAGCCGCTGTCTTCTGCCACTCGCCAAAAGCAATCATGGCTAACCTCGTTTGATGCTACTACGGATCATAATATCGCACCATTTGTCAACTATATCGTAATTGAAACTCTTCACTAACGCCTCGTCAAGGGGAATTTTTGCCGGCTTCGTGACGGCTTTTTTGTAAATGAGCAACTAGATCAGCGAGAGAATCTCTATTCAGACTTGGCGAGGATCCGCCCCGTCCCTCGGCCCCCTCTAGGAGCCGGGAACTAACATGTGCTTAGATTCTTGAACCTGATTGGTCGAATACTCCAGCCGTTTCAATATTTCTCCTCGTCCTGCAGAAAGTCCTCCATGCCTCTGGCGCTGCCCAGTACCAATGGCCGTTTGGGCATGCGTCTCGCGTCTTTGCCCCGTCAGTCAATAATTCTATGTCCAACGCCCGTAACCACGAGCACTAGGTCGAGGGAAGAGAAGCGATTCGTTCGCTTCAAGCCTGCCGTAATAAGATAGATGCCCACGTTGAGCAGCCGCTTTGAAATGTATCCGTACAAGCTTGGAGTTCTCTCTGAGAGGGGACACCCCTTGTCGTCAGTTCTGGCTGGTTGACCCCCCCTCAACGTCTAGCATGGCCGCTATTGGATGTTGCTCGCATATTTTCGATGCAGGCAGTGAACCTGGAACCCAGCCGTCTACTCCCGTGCCCAACTCTTCGGCCTCAGGCACTTCTGAACCCGAGCGAAGACTTGCGTTAGGGCGAAATCAAGTTCGCGGGAGGGGACGACGGACTCGTGAACAGAGATATTCGTTGAGCTTTTGAGGTTAATATGTAAATGCATTTCAGAGGCGTCAGGTAATCAGTCATACCGGGCAAGCTGCTCGTGAATAATTCCGCCGCCCATTGACCCGCATAATGGATATGAACTGGGTTGAAGCCTATCTGCCTGCCCGTCACGAGAGCTGTCATTCACTATTACCACTGTCGTATACATCTGCAGTTGTAAATTACCACCACTCGGGCCGCCCCCCCCCCCAGCGAGCACATCACTGTGTGTCGTCCCAACTGCAGATGATGCTTGTCGTTTAGCAAAGAAACCCCACGCAGCTCGGTGTCCAAAATAAGTCTAAACGCCCTCGAACAGGTGGGATCGACTTTTTTTTTTCGTCCTTCTCCCTAGAGAGCACATTCGCTTTACCCGCCAGCTATAGCAGCAATGGCTGCTGCTGCTGCTTCTTCCTCATCATCGTCCTCAAGGTCATATGCTTCTTCGTCCTCGTCCTACCATACCCAGTTGCCTGCATATGCTCGCAGCCTGGCCGCCGCCCCTCCATCGAACCCCGACTACACCCCGAACTCTGCCGTGTCAGACCTGACGGAATACTCCACTCCGCAAGAACAGCTCCGGCCTCTTGACCTCGGCCCTCCCGGCTTCAACGCAATAATGTAAATAAAGCAAAAACATATACTTATACTCCTCGTTTCCATGAGATTATATATATATATTCTTCTAACACGAAATCGCCTTTTCTCCTAGAACCCTATTCGAGGGCACATCCGACGAGAAGACTGTATACCTGGGGCCATGGGAGGTGGTTGGCACCGAGAGCCGGCGCGTCCTCTGGCAATGCAGCTATCAACTAGAACGCCTTGAACACTTCCGTACGTTTTCTTTCGAAATAGCGTTTCAGGAAAGAAATATCCTTCCGCCCCCAATAAGCAAGCAATTTTATCTAAAAGTTTTGTTGTTTGTCTCTAGTACCTACCTCATCGCCGCTCGAGACCTTTCCCCATACGCTTCATTCTAGACATCGCCAGTTTTCCGATCCGTGTGCGCTTGAGCAGCATGTCACATTTCGCGAGCTACATCGGGTTCGATATACAAATGAGGATGGCGTGGTGATTCACGACCAGCCGATTCATGTAAAATGTAAGTGCCATGTAATGCTGTTTCTTTCTGAAGCTCGCTCAAAGCATTGGGGAGGACAAAGAAGGCAATCCGGTGGACTGGCGGCATGGTAGATAGCTATAAGAAGATGCAGATAACGAGGAACTAACCGTGACCGCATAAATACAGACGAGTTTACAACGCTCGACTCGGCGCTCACTTTCCAGGGCGACCTCCGGAAGAAGGATCTGATGGACAGCTTTGATGTGGACGTGGTGTGGACCGACACGCAGGGGCGAACAGACACCTTTGGCAACGTGCGCGGCATCGGCACGGTACAGCGCCTCAAGCTGTGGTGCGATCGCTACAACCAGTCGCACTCGCTGACGGTATTTGCAAATCACCACCACACGAGCCACAACCAGCGCCGCCATCGCGGTGGCGGCAGTGGCCGCGGTGACGGCGTCTACCGCGAATTCCAGGTCGACCAGTTCGAGGGCGAGGTCCGGAACCGCGACGAACGGCACCGCACCCTCCGGCTTGAGGTCCGCGGCAGTAGCCGGCGCGGGAGTGGCGATTCCTCCGGAGGAGCGGGCGGTGTGGGGAGACGTATGTCGTTGGCTTCTGCCTTTCGCTCCTCGCGCCGCGGGTCCACTGCTTCTTCCTCCTCCTCGACCTCTTCTTTGGCGCAGTCGGGCGCGGGAGATGGGATGCGATACCTGGGTATCCAGTTCAGCCGCAGCGAAGGTGAGTAGCCTTTTCGCCCTGCCTTTCATACCACTATTCCCGCAAGACTTTGATTGTGAAAGAGCAAACAACTGACATTGCAAGGATAGACTACCGCCGGTTCCTGGATACCTGGCTCATAGCGCACAGCTCAGACAGCGAGTACCACGGCATTGCCCATCCCGTGGACGTATTTGAGCTGCCATCTCCCCAGATTGCTGCGTCCACGTCGTATGAGCTCTCATCGCAGTCCCTCTGGCAGGCCGAATTGCCGCTCATGCCGAGCCTGCCTCCGCCTGCAGAGGTGCCCGAAGAAGAAGACGATGGCCCAACGCCGTAAAAACAACAACAGACATGACCTCGGCATACGAGGCCACATTTGTGAACACCGTGGGGCGAAAAAGCATAAATCATACAATTAGGCATCGTCTTTTCTAAAGCGAGAAAAGGACGTCCAGAGGACAGATGAAGCAGTACATGGCGAAAGAGGGCCATAATATCCATGGCACCACTCTTGAACTTGAGAGCTTCATTTCTCGATTGTTCGAGGATGAGCGGATCAGCCTGCAAGTCGAATACTCAGATGTATGATGAACATATCGCCGTTCAAGACGGCATAGGGACGAGCGCCAAAGTCTTCATTGAAGAGAACACAGGATTCGCAGCTGGAAAACAGCCAAGGATGGAGGCAGAATTCATTCTTCGCCCACAGAGATGAGACTGAGAATTATCATATGGGGTTAAATTGAAACATTTCAATAACCATGGTATTGACACGAATCTACGGAGGAAGATCCCACTATGCCCTTTCAAAGCCACTTATACGGCTTCTTTAGTCACAACAGAGTCTGCTCAGGACGCACGTGGATAGTATTTGGCGCCGTACGACAACGTACAACGTGGGCAAAGAGTCAAATCCAGGAGCAAGGGAGAAACCAGGCTAACAGCTGCATACCTAACGTCATAGATGCACTGCACAGCTTAGCTTTGGTACAGTGGGGTTCGGTTACGGGCTTGTCAACGGACTATCCGGATGTACGTTTAAAAATGCCCTGGCCAGGGAGGACAAGAATTGAGAATGATAAACATACGATCAGACAAAACCAAGTATATCTAAAAATAAAACACACAGAATCAGATGCAACACATGTGATCTTTACTCATCTTACTCAGCTCTCTATTCATCGTCTCTAGAAAGTAATAGTAGTTTACATGTATCAGGGTCCCACGTCACCATGAAGATCATATTGTCGATCAACGCGGGCTCTAGCTCGGTCAAGATCTCGGCCTACACGGCCGAGCAGCGAGGGAAGGCGCCGGCGCAGATCGCCGAGGCGCAGCTCAGCGGCCTCACCTCTCCACCGGCCAAGCTCAAGTACTCGCGCGGCAGCGAGGTGGTGCTCAAGGACGAAAAGGTGGCCGACGCCGAGACGGTCAAGACGCAGGACGACGCCTTCCGGGTCCTGCTCCGGACGCTGGTCGAGGACCCGAAACTCGGCGAGATCGGCAAGGCGGAAGACGTGGCCATTGCCTGCCACCGCGTCGTCCACGGCGGCAGCTACGCGGCCGCGCAGCTCATCACCGAGGACACGTACCACCGGCTCGAGGCGCTGACGGACCTGGCGCCGCTGCACAACGCGCCGGCGCTCGAGATCATAAAGTCGTGCGTAAAGGCCCTCCCCTCGGCCGTCAACGTGGCCTGCTTCGACTCGCAGTTCCACGCCTCGCTGCCCGAGCACGTCCGGACCTACCCCATCGACCCAGAGATTGCGCGCAAGAACCAGCTCCGCAAGTACGGGTTCCATGGTATCAGCTACCAGTTCATCACCAACTCGGTCGCAGAGTTCCTGGGCAAGCCCACCAACGAGCTCAACATTATTGCCCTGCATCTTGGCAGCGGCGCCAGCGCTTGCGCCATCAGGGGAGGCAAGAGCTGGGATACGAGTATGGGCCTCACGCCACTCGCGGGTCTGCCTGGCGCAACCAGAAGCGGGAGCGTCGATCCGAGGTGAGCTTCACTCCGCATTCATTCAACAAGGGATCATATAATTCCCCTCTTTTTTGTATAAAAACATCACCTTGATTCTTGCTAACGCAAAAATTCTTCCTTGATCTCGTGGTACAGCCTAGTCTTTCATTACGCCAGCGACGTTGGCAAGCTCTCGCCGTCATCGACCAAGGAACTACACATTTCGCGAGCCGAGGAAATCCTCAACAAGGAGAGCGGCTGGCGGGCGCTGACGGGCACGACCGACTTTGGCACCATTGTGGCCGCGGCCACGGAGAGGCAGGAGCCGCGGAGCCGGCTCGCCCTCGACCTGTTTGCGGACCGCGTGTGCGGCTACGTCGGCAGCTACTACGTGTCGCTGGCGGGTCGGGTGGACGCGCTCGTCTTTGCGGGCGGCATTGGCGAGAAGAGCGACGTGCTGCGGCGCCGCGTCGTGGACCAGGTCGCGTGCCTCGGCTTTGCCCTCGACGAGGACCGCAACGCCCTGCCCGTCGAGGACGTGGTCCAAGATATTGGGCGCGAGGGCGCCAAGCACCGGACACTGGTCTGTCAGACGGATGAGCAATTTGAAATGGCCAGGAGTTGTGCTGCGGATCAAGAACTCTGGAAATAACATTAGTAAAGAATATCACCATATTCACTTGTGCCGAGTTAAGTGGCACTTGGCCAAGAAGCACAATGGATGAAAAGGATGATGTGCCATCAGTGAAGTTGTTGATTGTGAATCCGGCCTATAACGACTCTCTTGCCAACATCGTGAGATGCTTCGGAGCCGCGTTGAACCTCTTGTAGAATTATGAAGATACATAATTTGTTCCACTGTGAGTACTGCTGTGAGACGTGTACTATGTACAGATCATGATCCGGGCAGCCTTGTACACGATACCCCTTGTTGCTCCTGGTTTGACCTAACTCCGGAGTACCATCAAGGGTGGGATAGATGCCAGATGCCAACAAGGGTCCCCATATTCTCTTCTGTTCCCCATCGTCTCACCATACATGAGGAGCCTCGTCTGACTCTTCCGCGTAGCCCGGTTGGCTGTACGTGTAAAGTAATCTTAACGGGGTGGGAGCCGTCAGAGCCGCAGGTAACCCTTGCCCGCACAGTCCCCTCCAGAAAAAGCGAGGGAAAAAAACAAGAAGAAAACACAAAGAATAAAACCGGCTGATGAAGCCTTCCTGCGCCGATCAGTGGAGACCAGCAGAGGTCTCGCCCGCGTTCTACGGAGCCCCAAAGGCGGAGCTCGCTCCAGCACAGCGCACTGCTGACCGCAAAGGCCGGGTTTTCATTAGGCAGTGCGCGCTCACTGGCTTATTTTTTTTTTTTTTTTTCAGGGCCTGAAGGGTGAAATGCCCTATGGCTGTTCGCCCAGCCGGTCAAGGCCTCGCAGCACAATCTTCTTATGTACGTACTTCAAGGTGTAGATAAGGGCAGGTTTACGCGTTTCGTTCAGGTGGTTCTCGGAGGCATTCTTTTTGCAGTCTTTTATTCCGCGGTGGAACTTATATACTCCCAGAGAACCCGAGAGAGGGAGAGATAGCAAAAGATAAGCCAGCCTACGGAGAAATTATCTCGGAAGGTCCTTTATTTTATCTAGATCTTTAGCAATATGTGTGCATGCAGATCAGGGACATCCTCCAGGGATCTTCTGGTCACAAACAGCCCGTTGGCAAGTTGAGTATCGTGCCGACAGTGTAGTACACGTACAAGACGAACAAGAAAAGAAATGCGAGAGATATTAGGGGTTCAAGCTAGCAGCAGGCAGGCTGGCTTGTGCGGTGGACAGCAAAGTTGCGGTAGAGCCTTGCTTGCTTGTTTGTGGCTTACCTAGCGACCTGTTTAGTCGGTCAGGCTTCCCAGGGCTTTCAATGCACCCAGTTATCTATCCAATCGTCGATCTGCCAGGCACGGGAGCAGCGGAACGACTGGGGGTCCCCGTTCGGGCGCTCGGCCGTCGATGAGTCTGCTCATTTCCAAGCGACCAGATGACAAGAGCCCAAAGGGACTATCAAGGAAGAAAGCAGAAAAAGAAGTGGGCTTGAGGGTTCTTTCGTCTGTGTCAATCACCTCGTGTTAAGAGAGGCCTGAGTGTTCATCCTGACAAAGTGATGGAGTATTGGGGCAGGGGACCAAGTTCCACCCCATTGAGTTTGCTATTGCTGTCTTTTTTCCTCTCTTTTTTTTTTCTTTCCTCGCGGTTGCACTTGACCGACCGATCGAATCCTCCTTCCAGGCACAGGCATGGTCCTCGAAGATTAGCGATTGGGGATCTCTTTTTCTTCTTCTTCTTTTGGACTCTTCCGATTTCCCCTTCCCTCATTAGTCTCACTACTGCGTACGGATCGACAATACTCCTGGCATGGCGGGACGCCTCCGTAAACTCTCGTTGGCTCGCTCTTCTCGGCAGCAGTGAAAAAATGACTAGAAGGGACTTTATGTGTGGGGTGAAAGTGGATTTCGGTACCCTCCTTGATGGAACAGAAAAGGAAATCCTGGGAAGGAAATAGAGACAAGAAGGAGAAGATAGAGCGAAAATTTTGATACAGGAGTGACAAAAGGAAAACTAAAAGATCCAAAGATGGGTACCGCGTCGATCCAGGGACCACACCTGTCCTGACTGCATAATGACGTCGTGTACCTTCAGGGTATCGTGAAGTCTTAGATGGGGTGGAGTTTTCGGGGTCCCGTCTCCTGTGTGGGGGTGCCCCCTTCAGCTGTTGTGCGAATGGGGGCAGAGGGGACGGGACCTGAGGGGAATCTGACGAGGGCTGGGGGGAACCTAGAAGAAGGGAGTGGGAGGGGCTGAAGGGGGCCCTTTCTGGGTGGAGGGGAAGGGGGCCTATTTGGAACCGAGGAGGAAAAAAAAAAAAAAAAAGGCCAAAGGAAACTATTCCGCAGAACCCTGACTGGACTGTCGTCAAAAAATAGTTTATGAATTTTAGCACGTCGTGGCTGTCCACCTTTAAGACATACACTATCGTGCACTTTGGTGTAGCTCGTGTCTGTTTGCATATGTATCACCTTTCCGGAACCCGTCGCGTGAGTCGGCAGCGACAAGCGGTTTTATACGCCGCGGCCCGCTAAAGCAGACGAGACTTTCCCGGATCATCACCTCCTGCACTGCAAGTTGCGTCTACGGGTGCATGACATGGAGGTCTGCCATGAAATGCAACAGAGGAGCGGGGGAGAAAAAAGGAAGAAAAAATCTAGGTGTCTGTTAAGACCTAGGATGAATACATGCGGCGTAGGTACACGACATGCAAACAGGTCTTCCGCATGCCTTGATTTTATTGACGAAAGCTTCAGTCAGGGTTTTCTTCTCCACAAGAAGTGCTACAGTTTGGCTTTTCAACGGTCAGCACGAAGGTAGGCAAGTAGGTACCTAGGCAGCATGCATGCTTGCATTATTGCTGCACGAAGGAAGCAGCGAACATATGCGCGCCCGGGTATAAGCTTGGGCAAGATTATACTGTGTAGTCGAATGGGAATAACGGCGAGACATCGCATACGCAGTATGCACGTCGGTGGTATGCGGGACCTCTCTTTCTCTGAGTCCTCCCCGGCGACATGGTCGCCGATTGATGCCTCGGACAGCGGCTTGCCGGCGCCGTCCGCCCATGTGTAGCTTGCCGCTTACAGGCTGGAAAGTCATGAGAGAAATGTTGTGCAATTATGATGCATGATGCCTGTTGACAAGGGCAAGCAAGGTTCTCAAAGTGTGGCTTGCCATTGTCAAAGAGAATGGGATGGCAATTTTGAAGAAAACCCCCCATGTGCCAATTCGCCGCTCTAAAGCAAAGGGACATTGACAAAACTATACTCATGTCACGATGACGATACGTTAAGCCACGCGGGGCACCGAGGAGGCAACAAGTGCTGTGCGCACGGCGGAATAATGTAATCACAAAGCTACGATCACGCGTTGCGTCGGCTATACTGTCTGGTTCCGGCGATTGCTTGTGGCGATTGTGCTGTCCCCAAATTCAACTCTGGGTGGTCTGCATCAGCCGCACAACACGTCCTCTCTCTCTCTCTCTCTCTCTCTCC